GCGCCTTAGCCAGTTGAGCTATAGGCGCCGAGCCGAATTCCATTCTTAATAGACAAACAGCCTATACAAACTTTCTCTTAAGCTCTTGTAACATATTTGAATAATAAATTCCTACTCTGTCGCCCTGGGTAAAGTACCATGGCATCATAGTTCACAACAACCTCAAACTCGGGTTCCAGAGATCCCTTGCCTCAGCCTCCCATTCACTGGGACTATAGGCACTGCCACAACACCCAGCTAGTTTTTCTATTTCTCTATTTCTATTTTCTAGTTTTTCTAGCTCTACAGTGAGCTAGGAGTCTCACTCTTGCTCAGGCTGGTCTCAAACTCCTGAGCTCAAGCAGTCTACCTGCCTTGGCTTCCCAAAGTGCTAGGATTACAGGCGTTAGCCACTGTGCCCAGCCTACAAGAGATACATTTTTAAATAATACAATTAAATACTTAAGGTGCTGGCTCAGCGCCCACAGCACATGCACTGAGGATGGTGGGTTCAAACCCAGCCCGGGCCTGCTAAAACAACGACAACTGCAACAAAAAAAATAGCTGGGCATTGTGGCAGGTACCTGTAGTCCCAGCTACTTGGGAGTCCTGAGGCAAGAGAATTGCTTAAGCCCAAGAGTTTGAGATTGCTGTGAGCTGTCATGTCACGGCACTCTACCAAGGGCAACATAACAAAGCTCTGCCGCAAAAAAAAAAAAATACTCAAGGTACTGAAAACCAGAAAAAGATCCACCAACCCCAAAGTAAGATGTCATGTCTAGAGGCTCTGTTCCATCATCATCATCATCATCATCATATCAGCTTTTTTGTCCAAAGCCTCCCTGTGCCTCACAAAGAGACTGGAGACCTTCTCCCTCCTCTGAGCCCTGCAGGCTACGACCCTGGGCACCCAGAACATGACATGCACATGTCCATTCTTTGCCTGTCTCCTCTACTTAATTTTGAGGTCACTGAGGGCAGGGCCATGTCAGATGTTCCTTTCTTCTTCCAAAGTCTGTCCCTGAGAAGGTCCTCCACAACAGGCAAGAAGGAATTGAGCCCTAACTCCCATCTGTGGGGTAAGTAAAAGATCCCAAAAGAGAAAGCTGTCACTATGGGCAACTGGAAAGCCCAAGTTCCAACTGCTTACCAGTCACACCCTTTGTATCAATGATATTCTCTGCAGCTTTAGCTACTGCAAGATTCAAAGATTCATTGCCAACCCTGTTCATTCTTCTGGAGTTCAGCGCTCGCTTCTGTTTGGTGGTACCAAAGGCTTCAATACAAGAATCCATCTGTGCAAGAGACAAGTCTAGTTATTAGGGACAGAATGGAGGGCCCTGCTACTCCTAGCTGTGTAACAACAGAAAAACTGACAACATCCCTGAGCCATCACCTGTAAATAAGACTGAGTCATACCTAATCACTTCAGAGGGCTGATATAAGCATCAAATGTTATTAACAGATTTGAAGTACTTAATTTAATTTATAAATTGTAAAGAACTATTTACAACTAAATGGCATCTCCATCAGCTCGGCACCTGCGGCTCAAGTGGCTAAGGCGCCAGCCACATACACCTAAGGTGGCGGGTTCGAATTCAGCCTGGGCCCGCCAAACAACGATGGCTGCAACCAAAAAATAGCCAGGCGTTGTGGCGGGCGCCTGTGGTCCCAGCTACTTGGGAGGCTGAGGCAGGAGACTCACTTGAGCCCAGGAGTTGGAGGTTGCTGTGAGCTGTGATGTCACAGCACTCTACCTAGAGGAACAGCTTGAGGCTCCTGTCTCAAAAAATAAAAAAAAAATGGCATCTCCATCAATAAAATGAAAAAACTTTATGGGAATCAAGGCTGGTAACTGTGCTCCACAGGTTACCATTCTCCCATCCTACACCCATAACAAACACTTGCAAGAGATTACTGGCTCCTTCCCTCTGAGCTAGATTGAGCCTCACACCCCCTCTCAATACAGTGCTCCAGTAGCACCAGAAATTCAATCAATTTGCAGTTCTGGAGTGAGCCAACCTTTGTAGGAAAGTTCTGCATTAAAAGTCCTCAAGTTGGGCCAGGCATGATGGCTTACACCTGTAATCCTAGCATTCCGGGAGGCAGAGGAAGGAGGAACATTTGAGCATAGGAGTTCTAGACCAGCCTGAGCAAAAGTGAAATCCCATCTCTACAAAAAATAGAAAAAATAGCAAGGCATGGTGGCACATACCTGTAGTTCCAGCTACTTAGGAGGCTGAAACAGGAGGACCACTTGACCCCAGGAGTTTATGGTTACAGTGAGCTATGATACCACCACTATACTCTAGCCAGGGCAACAGAGCAAGATTCTATATCAAAAAAAAAAAAAAAAAGTTTTCTTTGTTTTAATGTGAAAGTTTTCAGGCTATGACCAATATTTTCTGCAACAAACTAAGTCCTAAAAATAGCTGTTATTCTATCCCTTTATTAGTTCAGAGGATGGATTCCAAATATTGGCACAGAGCCACCCTCAGCTACGCAAAATGGGGGCAGAATTGCTCTCTGTAAGACCAAGAAAGCTTCTGCAGACACAAATTGTCCAGAAAACCACAAACTAAATGTGCTGGGAACATCTCTTACCAGTGTTTGTTATGGGTATAGGATGGGAGAATGGTAACAGGTGGGCCACAGTTACCAGCCTTGATTCTCCTAAAGCCTTTTCATTTTACTGATGTTTAGTTGTAAATAGTCTTTGAGTTCACTAAGCCCATTTTACTGATGGAGAAACCCAAGGCCCAGAAGGAACTTGCTTAAGGTCCCACATCTTAGTTCTACATCATACTCACCTTTTCTCTGAAAGTTTTGGTCTGGCTGTCTAGTGTCTGTTCAGTCTCAACTGATTCATCTGTCAAAACGCAAAGAAACAGAGAGGGGGAAGAAAGCAAACTATAAGGCCTACAAATCGTGTTTAATATTTAAGTTAGCCCAAAAAAAAAAATCGATTTCTTTGCTATAGGACTTCCCTGAGCCTAATATGAGTGTATATTGTGAACATTTTCTTTTTTGGAGACAGGTTCTTGCTCTGTTGCTCAGGATAGAATGCAAAGGCATCATAACTCACTGCAACCTCAATCTCCTGGGCTCCAGTGATCTTCCTGCCTCAGTCTCCCAAGTAGCTGGGAATACAGGTGAGTACCTGGCTAGTTTTTAATTTTTTATAGAGACAGAGTCTTACTCTGTTGCTCAGGATGGTCTTAAACTCCTGGGTTCGAGTGATCCTCCCACCTCAGCTTTCCAAAGTGCTAGGATTACAGGCATGAGCCACCACACTTGGCCATGAGCATTTAACATTTAGAATTTGGAGTACAGATTAGGAAGTCAAATGAAGGGGTCACATGGTCCAACCTTTTCATTTTACCAATAAAGGAAAACTGTAAAATGACCTGCCCCAAGTCAATTCACCAGGCTGTGGCAGAGTTAAGATTAGAAACCAAGTTCTCAGTTCTTTCCAGTAAAGTTTTGCTCTCCTGGCATAAGACCTAAAAGTAGGCACAAACATGAGGTTATGTATTACTTCCATGATGCTCTCTAATCCTCCATAATGTACTCAAATAAGGGGCAGTATAATTGAGTGGACACGAGCACAAGCTCCAGAGCGGGCTCGCTTGAGTTATCCCAGACATCTACTCTGATAAAGTCATTTAACTGCTGCACCAGTTTTATCAGTATAAAAGGAATATCAGTGAATACTCCAGAGGGTTGCAGGTGATGTTGTACATCAAAAGTGCTTAGAACAGTGACTAGCACATAGCAATAACCCAATATAAATGCTGAGTGTGTAGGCTTGCTAACTAGAATAAATCAAAGTTTACAAACTGCTTACATATAAAAACAAAAATGTGTTTAAACAACAAATAAACAGGCTCAGCGCCTGTGGCTCAAGTGGCTAAGGTGCCAGCCACATACACCTAAGGTGGTGGGTTCGAATCCAGCCTGGGCCCACCAAACAACAATGATGGCTGCAACCAAAAAATAGCCAGGCATTGTGGCGGGCACCTGTGGTCCCAGCTACTTGGGAGGCTGAGGCAGGAGACTCGCTTGAGCCCAGGAGTTGGAGGTTGGTGAGCTATGATGCCACAGCACTCTACCCAGGGGGACAGCTTGAGGCTCTATCTCAAAAACATATATATAAAATAAGCAATTTTCCTTGTCTCCCTAGAAGTTAGCAGAATATCTGGAGGATGAAGTAGATGTAATTAGCTGAGCTATAGGTGGCTCAGACCTATAATCCCAACACTTAGGGAGGCTGAGGTGGGATGACGGTTTGAGGCCAGGAGTTCTGAGTCCAGAGGGGTCAATGAAATAAGACCTGACCTCTACAAAAAATGTGGTGCCATGTGCATGTGGTCCTAGCTATAGGGAGTGCTAAGGCAGAGGACTACTTAAGCCCAAAATTCAAGAATTCAAGGTTGTAGTTAACTATGATTATGACACTGCACTCCAGCCTAGGTGACAGAGCAAGACTGTCTAAGAAAAAATATTAAGCAAAGCCTTTGAGGGAGAAGAATTTGACATCAGAAATGTACTGTAATATTCTGCTCCGATCACTGCCTACCTTAACTGAGTTTCTGATCTCAAGAAACTATAAACACACTAGGGACAGGATCTGTGTTTGTCTTGCTTACTGTGACATCTTCAGCCCCTAGATTGGTGCCTGGTTCATAGTACGTCATCAATAAACATTTACTGGATATAACAAACTCTAAAACTTTTTCAAATAAAAGAAAAAGAAAACTAACAGAAAGGCATTCTTTTGGGGGCAGGGGATAACAACTACAACATGTGTTCCACAAACCTAAAACTGAAAACATGCAGTGTTTCTGTCAGTGTTCCTGACTGGGACCTACCTGAAAACAGTGGCTGCATGTTGAACAGTTCCGCATCATACACTTCCATTTGGCCAGAGGTCTTGTTCAAAATTCCTACAAAGTGCCTGAATAAAGAAGGAATAATACCAGTGACAATGGATTATTCAAAAGTATTGTTTAGACAACTTCCTTTCCTGTTCAAAAGTTCTCAATTTCTCTCAGGCCCAACATACCCGAGGAACTCATTGCTTGCTGTGGGTAACAGTAATCTCCTACAGCAGCAATTCTAGCACAGAGAGGGAAAAGGAGGGGAAGGGACAGGAGGCGGTTCTGGAAAAAAAAGCTACCAAGTGATTCTAGTAGCTGATCACATTTGGATTCACTGCTACTCCATGATGGGAAACACTTTAGGGGTATAAGAATTTGGAATCACACTAGAATGTACTGCATACATAATTTGTATGGAGGCAAATTCAAGTAAATGGGGGAGAGGACCAATCTGAACTAGAACATCTTCGTGAGGGGAGGATGTAGTGTTGATAGTCCCTGAGGGTTACAGATAGTTCAAGCTAGACAGTCTCTACTGTGCAGAGGAGACCTAGGGTTAGTGACAGGCAGAGTTGCCCAAAGTCACTCAGTCAAGCAGCAACACAGCCCATGGAAACCCCAGGCTCCTCTTTCCCAGTCCAGAGCCTTCCACACTACCAAATTCTTTTCCTGTAATTAGTTCCAAGACAAACTTCAAGCAAGCTTCGACCTACGGTTTACACATTCCAAACTAGTGGAGAGAGCTGCCTTTTGGAATAAGATAGTTACAAAGTTGCAACTAGGCTAGGCGCCTGTGGCTCAAGCGGCTAAGGCACCAGCCACATACACCTAAGGTGGCGGGTTCGAATCCCCAGGCCGGGCCCGCCAAACAACAGTGATGGCTGCAACCAAAAAATGGCCAGGCATTGTGGCGGGCGCCTGTAGTCCCAGCTGCTTGGGAGGCTGAGGCAGGAGACTTGCTTGAGCTCAGGAGTTGGGGGTTGCTGTGAGCGTGATGCCATGGCACTCTACCCAGGGGGATAGCTTGAGGGGGCCTTCTCAAAAAAAAAAAAAACAAAGTTGCAACTAAATGACTTTTTTAGGAAATTCAACAAATATAAATCCCCTTTCTCTTCCAAATGTTTACAGACTGGGTAAGGCCCCCAAGGTCTAGGAACAGAGAGATCTAGTAAGCCTCCCTACGTTCCTCCCTCCCACTGCCTCTAAAATAGACCAAAAGCAGCAGTGCCAGTGCCATCCCCTTCCCCATCACCCATTCCGCTGACCCTCCCCAATAATCACCTGCATAGAGTGTTGCATTTCAGGGCTCCAGTCCCAAAATTATTTCCCACATAGGAAAGTCTGTCTGTTTCAGCTGCCTAAAATATAGAGGGGAACATTTCATTTATAACCCATGTTGAAAGGTATAAGCATTGTCTCACTTTTCTATACTGCAGAAGCTTTAGAATCCAGAACTACACGGATTGGAATTACAGAGCCTCTGGGAGATGGTCTAGCTCCACCATCTCTAACGGAATCTCTGGAGGAAAGGCAAGAAGGCTTTCAAAAGGGAAGCTTCAGATGGTGCTGGCTTCTAACTGATATGGTAAGTTCTTAGAGGAGTTGCATCACAGGACTTCAGAGAGAGGCCCTGGGCTTGGGCACTTACAGGTATGCAACAAAGTGATTCTGCAAGCAATCTCCTTGGCCAGAAGTCCAATCCCTTGAGCCTCTGGGCCCACCTCTACCAAAGCTGTTCTGTATACACTCCCAGGACTAGGAAATGGCTGATTGACTTCCTAGTCACAGCCAATATTCCTGCTTTCCTGTGTGTGTTCTTCCCATCTTCTTCAATTGGAACACCAAACCTCAGCTGTTAAACCCTCCCTCCATCCTTCAGGGCTCAGTTCCAATGCAGCTTGCCCAAGGATGGCATTCCAGTAAAGAGAGTCCTCTCCTCCTACTGACCTCATTCTGCCCTGTACTCCCTCCACATGGCCTCTGACCTTTGTCTACTGTGTAAGTGTGCCTCATGATCAGTCTTCTCCTCTATGAAGTTTTTCAACCCAAGGAAATCCATGCCAGTGTTACTGGCATCTAGGGATTCTGCTAAACATCCTGTGATGCAGGACCACTACCCACAATAAAGAATTATCTGGCCCCAAATGCCCCGAGTGTGAGGTTGAGAAACCCTACTCTAGAGTATGAACTTCCTCAGAGGGGAACCAAGTCTGATTTGGCAGGTCTGACTTGGGGCCAGGTCTGTTTCTCTGGCAGTTAACTACACAGGAATGCAATGGGTATTCAGTAAATGCTTGTTCAAAGAACAAATGAATGACAGGTCATCACTTCACCAAAAGTACTAACCCTGTATGGAACCAGTCCCACACCCGGAGCTGCTCCTTTTTGCCTCCTCACTCTCTCCCACATCAACCACACCCATGGGGCCTCCTGAAACCCCCAGAGTGGAGGCAACTAGAGCACTTACCAGGATCCGCTGATTTTTCCTCCTAGGGTTTTTGGAGTCATCGCTCTTGTATAAGGTAAAGCGCATGTTGCCTGGATTCTGCAGCTTCCCATTGGAGAACTGAACTGTAAGAGTGAGGCCCAAGAATAAGATGAGGGCAGAAGAACCCAAAGTTATTGTGGGGAGAAACTGCAGTGACCGTTGTAATGGAGAGGGCAAGGAAGCTCAGGGCCTGACCTAAAGGAGGATGAAGTAGGTTCTGAGCATGTTGGGAAGAGGGGATGGGAAGGTGGGGGGAAGCCTGAGGAAAGGCTGTGACAGGAGGGGAGGGGCTGTGGCAGGAGAGGAAGGGAGGGGAAGAGGCGGGAGGGGGGATGAGGCCGACAGAGGAGCCCTGGTCCAGACCTAAAGAGACAGAGGGAAATAGGACAGGGAGGAGATCTGGTGGTGAGGGGATGTCAGGGTCCTGGGCACAGCCCTGGGTAGGGGGAGGAGTTGATTGGGATGTCTTCATCCAGCTGGGAGGTAGTGAAAGAAAGATGGCAGTTGGACAGGGAAGCCCTGGTCGAGCCGAAGGTAGTGGTGGAGACGAGAGGGGGTCCTGGCCCAGCTCGGTAAGGAGACTTAACCGAGGGCGGGAGAACAGCAGAGGCGGAAAAGCAGAGGGTTACGGGGAACTCCAGCTCCGCGGTCTTTACCCAGTACAGCTCTCTGGCTCTCTTCGGGCTCCCCACAATACAGCCACCTCGCACTCGGCAACACTTCTGCCGCCATCTCGTCCGACTGGCCGCCAATTCGCAGGAGTTAACAGCTGCAGCCACCGGCTCCAGAAAGCACGCCGAAGCCCCGGACGCAGGACAAGCCGGAAGGGGCGTGATCCCGCCGGGCACCGCCCAGAGTGCCCGGGGCGCGAGACTCCGCCCCCACGACCTAAGCCTGCGGTCCCCGCCCCTTCTCCCTGCAGGCGCGGTCTCCGCCCACTTGGTGCCACGCCCCTCCCTGGTCTTTCCGAGGCACAAACCCTGCTTGTCCCAGCGCTCGCCAGAGATTTGACAGTTTGGTGGAATTAAAGCCCCAAACCCGAAAGGTCCTGTGGCTTCAGCCTAATCTCGCAGTGGGCCTTCTGTCCCTGCGATACTCAGCACGGACAGAATATCATCTCTCTCCTACCGTGACATACATATTTTTCCAAGTTCAAATTTAGAATTCTCTGACAAAAACTCCTTGAGCCCCAACTCACGAGGACATCCACCTTTAAGTCTGCCTCTATCCACAGCCAGCAAACAGCTCCTTGCCATGGTCCCTCCTGGGGCTGAAGCATGCACAAACCTGTGCCTCAATCAACCCTGAGAGGACGGACCAGGGGGAGAAACCCACCAAGCTCAGAGCATTTGGACGGAGGGTTCTGGAGTGGGCTAGAATTCGACCCTTCTTCTGAGTTAGAACAGGAGGAGGGCAAAAACAGGCCTTTATGATCCCAGGCCGGGGCACCTTCTGTCTAGTCTAAAGGGCATACAGATAAAGGGCAAGATCTGGGGTTGGCTTACCTCTGTTTACCAAGTCAATTTCCCTTCCCGCTCCGTTTCCTGACCCCCAACACTCAAAATGCTCCAAACACCTGCAGGTCCCTTTTTCTTTTTTCTTTTAGACAAAAGTCTGACTTTGTCACCCTAGGTAGAGTGCCATAGCGTCACAGCTCACAGCAACCTCAAACTCGTGGGCTCAAAAGATTCTCTTGCCTCAGCCTCCCAAGTAGCTGGGGTTACTGGCACCCACCACAACACCTGGCTATTTTTAGAGAGGGTCTCGCTCTTGCTCAAGCTGGACTCAGACTCATGAGCCCAGGCAATCCACCTGCCTCGGTTGCCACACTTTTCTAATTACCTAATTTCAAATTTATAGAAACATTGGAAGTACTGTGCAAAGAATTTTTTTGCCATGAACCATTTAGAGTAAGTTGTCAACCTGATATACCATTACCCCTGAAGACTACAGTAGTTCCTACAGACAGGAACATTCCCTAAGTAACTACAATACAGCCATCAAAAACAGAAAATTAGCATTGATATATCACACCCCATGTAAATTCACTAATTGTGCCAGTAATTTTTTTGTTTTTGTTTTGTTTTGTTTTTTGAGACAGAATCTAGCTCTATCACCCAGGCTGGAGTGCAGTGACCTCATCATAGTTCACTGCAATCTCAAACTCCTGGGCTCAAGCAATCCTACCCCCTCAGCCTCCTGAATAGCTGGGATTACAGGCACACACCACCATGCCCAGCTAACTTTTCTATTTTTTTGTAGAAACAGAGTTTCACTTTTACTCAGGCTGGTCTTGAACTCCTGAGCTCAAATGATCCTCTCTCATCAGCGCCCCAAAGTACTAGGATTATAGGCATGAGCCAATGTACCTGGCCTCCAATAATGTTTTTATAGCAAAAAGAGCCTGTCAAGAATCACAAGTTTCATTTAGCTGTCATAGCTCTTCCTCTGGAAGGCAACCTTACTTGACTCCAGACTCCACCTAAAGACTTGAATTGAAATGTTCAGGAAGGAAAAAGGATAAAGAAGAAAAAGAACTTAACAGTGTAATTATTTGTCTCCCCCACTGATCTTTTTTCTCACTAAGCTTATTTAGGGTTAACAGTAAACAATGTTGAGATTAAACAATAAATAAACAAATAATGTTTGTTTTGTTAACTGCTGTATCTCTGGCTCCTGGAAAAGTGCCTGGACATAATAGATTGTCAACAAATGTGGAGTGAATGAAGTGACAAGGCGAGGAACAAGCCTGAATCATCACTAATCTTGGAAGCCTACCCAGCACAGGGACTGTAACTAAAGATGCTTAGTGATGTCAGTTAAAATCAACTGGGTTTACACATAATAGACTTTGTACATGTTGATTGGCTGAATGAAAGTATGACCAGTTGGGCTCGGAGCCTGTAGCTCAAGCAGCTAAGGTGCCAGCCACATATACCTAAGGTGGCGGGTTCGAATCCCCAGCCCGGGCCCGCCAAACAACGATGGCAGCAACCAAAAAATGGCCAGGCGTTGCAGCGGGCGCCTGTAGTCCCAGCTGCTTGGGAGGCTGAGGCAGGAGACTTGCTTGAGCCCAGGAGTTGGAGGTTGTTGTGAGCGTGATGCCATGGCACTCTACCCAGGGGGATAGCTTGAGGCTCTGTCTCAAAAAAAAAAAAAAAAAAGAAAGAAAGAAGAAAGTATGACCAGTTGAATCAAAGTTAAGGGGTGATAAAGCTATAAGGAACAAAGCTACAAGTTCTTGAGAAAAGTGTCTTGGCCCCTCATGATATAGGGGCCATGATCATTTTTGATAAATAATAAAAAAAATCAACATACATATACATAGTATGGCTGTGCTACACAAAATGTGGTCTGTGAAAACAGCAGCATCTGCATCACCTGGGAGCTTGTTAGAAATGCATTCTCTCCAGCCCTGTCAAATCTTCTGAGGCAGAATTAGCAGGTGATTCATGTGCACTTGAAATTTGAGGAGCATTGTTGCACGAGACTGATTTTAAGGAACATCTTTGCCAAACAATCTGTGAAAATCCCCAGAATTGGCTGCTTTGTACCTAGGTAGAGCAGTAACATGTAACACACAGCTATGGAGAGCAAAAACTCCCAGAATTACCACTGGCAAGAATCCAAAGTGATAGAGATTCTATTTAGGTGAGCAAAGTGTCAATGGTGAGGTGGCTGGTAAGGGGACCATAGTATGCCCCCGTATGTTGCTTAATTATTTAACAGTGATTTAAAACATACACATGCATACACCGTATACATATACATACATGCATATGTGACTGGGACAAGGCAGGACGGAGGGAGCCCTACATAGACAGTGATCAAAATGCAAAAATCTGTGGTGGCCTTTTCTAGATTAAAATAATGGATAATCGGGCAGCGCCTGTGGCTCCAAAGGGTAGGGCACCAGCCCCATATGCCTGAGGTGATGGGTTTAAACCCAGCCATGGCCAAAATAAATAAATAAACAAAAATAAAAATAATGGATAATCACAGGCAGAATTTACCATAAAGTGTTTGAAAATTTAGTTTGGAAGGCTTGATGCCTGTAGCACAGTGGTTACGGCACCAGCGACATGCACCAAGACTGGTTGGTGGGTTCGAGCCAGGCCCAGGCCAGTTATCCAACAATGACAACTGCAACAAAAAAATAGCCCAGGGTTGGGTGGAGCCTGTGGCTCAAGGAGTAGGGCACCAGCCCCATATATAGGAGGTTTGGCAGGTTCAAACCTTGTTCCTGCCAAAAACTGCAGAAAAATATAAAAAATTGGCCAGGCACCTGTAGTCTCAGCTACTCAGGAGGCTGAGGCAAGAGAATCACTTAAGCCCAAGAGTTTGAGGTTGCTGTGAGCTGTGACACCACAGCACTCTACCAAGGGCA